TTAAAAAGAAAGTAGTATCCTCTATGAGTTTTAGAAATTCACCTTTGTAACCATTAATTGCATCATCTGAATGTAATGTGATACTAGTCACTAGTTCTAAATTCTTACAACTACAACTGACTCATTATGGGGTGTCTCAGATGAATTGTCAAGGATACCAAAGTTAAGAGACAAATTACAGAAATTAATAGATTTAGAAATCCCCAGAATATACCTACTTACTACTTTACCAATATGCTGTACCAGTTTATAATCACAAGGTCCATATTCTGATCTCACAAATAAAATATATAATATAGAGACATGTAATATAAAAGACTAAAATATATAATATAGAGACATGCAATAAAAAAGACCATTTATGTGTATTTTGTATAAACCTAATCACATTTTTTAAATCATTTTATTAGGGGCTCATTCATCTCATCACAATCCATACATACATCAATTGTGTAAAGCACATTTGTAATTCATTGCCCTCATCATTCTCAAAACATTTCCTCTCCACTTAAGCCCCTGGCATTAGGTCCTCATTTTTCCCCTCCCTCCCTGCTCCCCCCTCCCTCATAAGCCCTTGATAATTTATAAATTATTATTTTGTCATATCTTGCCCTGTCCGACTTCTCCCTTCACCCACTTTTGTTGTCCGTCCCCCAGAGAGGAGGTCACATATAGTTCCTTGTAATCGGTTCCCAAACCTAATCACATTTAAATGGAGACCTGGTAGTGTAGTGGTTAAGCATTGGGCTGGGATCTGAATGGTACTCAGTTCAAAACCAGCAGCAGCTCTGAGGGAGAAAGACTGGGCTTTCTAGTCTCGGAAACCCACAAGAGGTCATTATAAATCAGTGCTGACTCGATGGCAGTGAGAATCACATTGAAGTCGTTGTCTTTGAGTGTTAGAATCTTGAAAGAAAAGATGCTCTTCTGAAAGCGAGTGCTGCTTTTGTCTCTTTAATCAAAGCAGAATATATAAACGTTTTATTTATTTGCTATTCCCCTGTTATCTCCCAACCATATAACTGTAAGGGAGGTGGAGTTGGATTTTTGTAGTGTGCTTATAGATTCAGGTGATGGAGTCAGAACAGAGGCTTTTTGATATAACACTCAAGTTAACCAATTAGATAATTACGCTGCTCGCAAAACCCATAAAGAAAATTTTGTGATTATGGAAATAAACTTTTAACTCTAACACTAATTTATAATTTTGGATAATATTTGCATGACAAAATAAAAACCCATTGCTGTTGAGTTGACTTTGACTCACAGTATTCTTATAGTACAAAGAAGAACTGTTCCTTAGGATAAGACTTTACAGGAGACCATCTTTCTCCCTTGGAGAAGCTGGCATGTTTGAACTGATAACCTTGAGGTTAACAGCTCAGTGACTAGCCCACTTTGCCACCAGGGCTCCTTTTAAAGTGGGTGAAGGGTGACAGAGGATGATGTAAGATATGAAAATAATAATCTCTAACTTATCAAGGGTTCATGAGGGAGGGTGGTTGGGGGAAAGGGGCAGGAGGGGGGGGGAATGAGCTGATATCAAGGGCTCAAGTAGAAAGAAAATGCTTTGAAAATGATGATGGCAGCATATGTGCAAATGTGCTGGACACAATGGATGAATGTATGGATTATGATAAGAGATGAGCCCCCAATAAAAGTATTAAATAAATAAATAAAAATACTTGCCTGGCAGTCCGGAATAGAAGATGCTTTTCTCCTAACAGTTGCTCAAGGATCATGTCATCCAGATGTAAAGTTCAGACAGTAACGAGAGAGAAAGAAAAAAAAAGTTGTTTTATTAGGGCTAGACTTTATCAGTCTTCTGAGCTACTTGGAATTCTTCTACCATGGAATCCAACTCCCTCCCTGTCTTGCCCCTCCCCCAAAATTTGCTCTGACTGGGATTGCTTATTTGAAATGAGAGGAGGGAGTTCAAAGTTGTTCTAAGACTACCAACTTCATTTCCCCTAGAATGGGCTCCACAAAATGACCTTAGTCTTCTTAGAAGAAAAGCTTTGAATAATGTTGCCTGAGTCCATGCTAATTTGAATATCCCCTAATAAATCATCGCCTCTTTAGGAAACATAAAAAGCATGGACAATTATTTGGAGTAAAAGATTGCAAAGCTATACTAATGTCACAATTATCCTCAGTGACTGGTTCAATGAAAATCAACTAGAAAAAAAATCTAGTTTAACATCACTGATAAACTTACCAGAATAAAAACAATCTGAGTTACGGCACAGTGTAATTAAAGCTTACACACTGGTTCACCACCCTTTCCAGAACATATTCATTCAAGAAAAGGTGTGAAAAGCAAATTTTTGTGAATCAATTTCTATTTTAAAAGCCACATCTTATTTTTGCAAATTGCCTTATAAATTTAAATGCATTTGAATGTGTTCTCCGTCAGGTAAATAAATGTTTCTCAGCAACTCTGAGGGGGAATTACAGGGGAAGAAGGCTCCTGAGTGATTCGTGCAGACACACAGAAAGTGGTAGAACCATGGCTCAAGACCAATTCCACAGATTCCTTGACTTGTAGGACATCGCAGACTCGTTTTGTGATGTACACCTGCCCTGGTTTTTATTTTTAGTAAAGCTTGACTTTCATGTTGAATTTATTTAATGCAGTATACACCTGTACGTTGTATAGGTGTGTGTGAATATTGTTTATTTGCTTCTATTTGTGAAGAAGGATGTGACTGAGTTTGTTGTATATGTGTGTGAATATTGTTTATTTGCTTCTATTTATGAAGAAGGACGTGACTGAGTTTGTTCAATAGTCATAATATTTTTTAAAAATCATTTTACTGGGGCTCGTACAACTCTTATCACAATCCATATGATAGTCATAATATTATATATTTCATTTCATTCTTTGCTTGAACAGACAATAAAGACTTCCCTAAAGAGATATGTTTTCATTCTGGATAATATTTGTCTTTCTTTTCTTTTTTTTTATTCCATCTAATCCAAATTTCTTTCGAAATTTAGAGCCCAGCTGCTAATTCGTCTTTTATCCACCATCCTGATTTCAAACTCATGACTGCGTAAGGCTAATTAATCTGCAGTGTCTGTTGTGCATGATTGGCTTGTTAACCAGAGAAACCATATACTGAGCCTGCTATAAGCTGAATATTAGATGTCACGGCTTTTCTTATACGTGTGTTCCTCCGGAAGAGAGTCCATGGTTTAAACAACTAATCTTATTTGTTATTTTTACATGTTACCAACAACTACCTTCTAGTTATTTTGAGGAACAATTAAACAGGTCTCAGTACTTTTGTGGGGAAACTAAAGATGTTTTATGAGTTATGTGAGCAAGTCAAAACTCAACATTCACAAAGCATTGGGAGTTACTCAGGCAAAGGTTTTAGAGAAATGATAGGTGATAGTTCTTAATCCTTAGAGCAAGAATTATGATAATGCCTTAACAGTTTTGATAAACAATTCAGAAATGCCACCATCCAAACAACAGGCAGCAGTGGAAAGGAGGAACCCAGCCTGATTATTAACTACAGGCAGTCTAGGCAGGTGCCTCTCGGCCAGGTACTGCTGGGGGAGTCCTCACAACCTCTCACAACTTCAGCGCAGGGGTTCTGGGGAAAAGATCCCTTTTGTTCCGTCAGGGGCCACATGCCAAACATTCTCTGTCATAGACGCTAACATCTAAAGGGCTGCCTGACCTTTTAAGGCCCTTGTGGAGAAACCAGCCCCCTAGGAGATGCCTGGTTCAACTCAGCTTCCTTGAGCCTGAAGTGACAGAAGCCTACAACTGCCTAAGACCCCCTTGAGACCTGAAAACTGCTTGTCAGCCAGCTTTCTTGGATCCAAGAAACAGGGATATATGTACACACAACAATATGGGATTAATTCATACTTCTTACTTCTCTCTGCCAACAACAATCTCTACCCTTCCTCTAAAAATAATTTGTGAGTCTGCTGTTTGACTTTGGAAATTTGGAGTATCCCTGACATCACCTTCCACACCACCACCACTAGGATTTTAAAAGAATGCTACATGATTTAAAATGCATTTGGGTTACAATTAGGGAGCTAGACATTACCTAGCTTTTGGAGTTTTTTGATGATTTCAACTAGCCTTGAAAAAAAATGATGCACAGACATTGCAAAAGAAGGAAAAAGAAAAAAAAATCAGAGAAAAAGATAAAAGAGATAAAGATGAAGTCTTTAACTGACTGTCCCCATCCCATCCCCAAACATTTTAAGATATGTGACACATCAATTGAGAATCTGTGGAAGCTCCACAAAGCCGAGCAAAAATGGTGCCTCCTACTTAGTGTTTACATGAGAGTCCACTGGCTATTAGACTACCCAAGAAAGAATGAGCCATGTGTTTGCCAAAACCAGTCATTTTTAGTGTAGTTTGATTTCCCCTGCTGCCTAACTCTCACATTCCCAGATCCCTCAACCTGAACCATGGCCTTTTTCAGGTGGAACCGCTTTTTTTTCTTTCTTTCATTTTTTTGCCCTTGTTGACCCATCTTGTAGATCCTACAAGCCACTTATCTGAAAGTGTTGACTCACCGTTATCCTTATTGTCCATACCTACTTAGTACAAGAAGTTTCAGTGTTCCTGCCCTGGGAACACATTTTTCCTGCTCTTCCCTGAGAAAGTAAACTTGATACTATGGACCCCCTAAAGTAAACCAATGCGTGAGTCAGTCTTAGATTCTTTAGTGTAGCAACCAAACACACTTAGATTCTTAATGAATCCCCTTTCTTTTCCCTCTACACACACACCTTTTAAAATTATACTTCTGTTGTGAAACGTGTGTAACAAGGCAAATATTGTGATAATCTTTGATTCTGTGTGCCACATCCGCAGATGGTGTTAAAGCAGCAATTAAAAGTCCTAATATAAGTCTAATACTTGTTTTATTAGCCTAACGACTTAAATTGAAAAGTTCAGCCTACTATGGTTATAGTCTGTAAGTATTGATCTGCCCACTCATCTTCTGAACTATTTTAATATGTGCTTGATTGCAGGAAATCTTCATCGAACCAGCAGTGTTCCTGAGTATGTGTACAACCTACACTTGGTCGAAAATGACTTTACCACTGGGCGTTCCCTGGGTACTAAAACGTATGATATGTTACAGGTAGGAGATCAAAGAATAATACTCCAGTATTATTCCCAGATCACCGTGGAGACATTCTCAAACTTCCTTAGATTTCTTTTTTAAATGTAAAACTGGTCCCAAGTATTACCCAAATGAATGGTGAGAAACTCGATTTTATGTGAATGTAATGGGAACCTGGGAGCTTTAAGCAGCATCAAGACCTAGTGCAAATAAATCAGACTCAAATCAACCAAGTTTGTTGCATAGAAGTCTTTCCCCACACTGGGACCACTTTTTCCACCTGAGCCAGAGAAACATACATCTCGTTTAATGGTCCTGGAGTAGTTATTGGTGTGGTTCGTTCCCATCAAAGCACCCCCAATTCATGATGACAGTACATGTCCTGGCCTCTCTTCAGCACCCTTGGTATGTTTGAGGTCAGAGCGGTCGTCTTTGACAAAGGCAGAACCTGATGACAAAAGAGCTCACCCAAACTTTCTTTCTCACTCTGTAGGCAGGCACAGCAGCTACGTACGAAAGCCGCTGGGGGCGAGGCCAGGCGCAGTACAGTTCACAGAAGTCGATGGAAGAAAGGTCCTGGAGGCAGCCTTTGCGGAGGCTTGAGATCTCACCGGACAGCAGTCCCGAGAGAGTTCACTACGCGCACAGTGACTTCCATTACAACCAGAGAAGCCAAGCTGGGCATACTCTGCCGCACCGAGAAAGCAGGCGATCCACCCTGTTCGTGGCCCCGAGATACGCTCGGTCCGAAATTGTCGGCTTCAACCCCCAGAGCACTGTTAGTAGACAGCGCCAGAGAGAGCACAGCTACAGGTCTGCTAACAACAGTGTTCTCGACGCTGTGGTTGTCAGCCCTGCAGTGCTCACCTACCCCCGGCCGGGCACCAGCCACAGCATGGGCAACCTCCTGGAGAAAGAGAACTACCTGACTGCGGGTTCTGTTGCTGGGCAAGTGAGGACCATGGCGTCCTTGCAGTCTGCCACCCAGGAGAGGGCTCACAGGACCTCCTGGAACCACACCTCCTTCCACAGCACCCGCACCATGCGGGAAGCCCGACCTGGTGCCGCTGTGGACCCCAGCGGGAGGAGAACGCACCTGACCGTTGGCCAGGTGGCCGCAGGAGCAAGTGGGAATTTCCTCTCAGAGAGAAGCGCTTTCACCGACTCCCAGTTTGGGTAAGTCCCCTTCCAAATCTGCAGTTCAGTCAGGGCCAGCACATTCTGTTCCCACAGCCCTTAGAACGAGCGTGCTGGCACTTCTGGGGTGGAGACAAAGGCTTCCAGAGGTACGTGATGAAAAGAATGACTTTTTACCCAGCTGCCTAATGGACAAACCTGCCCGTTTACTTCAGGGGAAAAGGCCAACAACCTACCTGCTCCAATGGCACTTGTGGGGAAATAATGATGTTTCAGTCCCTCTGTTCCAGGTTAAGCTCTGGTAGTGTAGTGCTTACCAGTTGGGTTGCTAGCCACAAGGTCAGCAGTTCAAAGTTCCCTGCCGCTCTATAGGGGAAAGACAGGGCTTTCTACTCTGAGTTACAGTCTTAGAAGCCTACAGGGGCAGTTCTACCCTGACCTATAAGGTCACTATGAGTTGAATTGAACTAAATGGTCGTGAGTTTTTGGTACGGTTCCAGCTTAAATACTGGATGGGGGTGTATATGAAATTCTCCTCTAAGTGATCACAAACTCCAAGTAGATCAAAAAGTGGATAATTTCATGTACTTTTCTCAATCATTCCTTGAAATGAGAGAAAGAGGCACAATATTGTTTCAAGTGCTGGAGTGGACCTGAAATGCTGTTTTGATAATCACAACCATAAAAAATGAGAGCTAAGGAAAGGCAGCCGAATTGTAGATGCCTTTCTTTCCTTTGATACTTGAGACCGCTATGTATTCTTCTAGCATCGGAGATGTGTAACGTGTTTTTTGGCAACTACTGAATAATGAAAATAGCTTAATTTTTAAAGTTATTCATTTGTCTTTCCTGTTTACTTTATGGCTTGACTAATACAGTTTGTGGAACTTAACCCTTGTGCAAGCTTAATGTCATAACAAATATTTTATTAACTGAGGAATGTTGACAAATGGATGAATGATTAAATCAATATCTCATGAAGTGATTTAGTATTGTGGCAAAATATCCAATATGTGGTTTTTGTCAGAATGTCTAAAGTTTCCTAATGAAAGTTATTATATTTAATGGTCCCTTTAAGTGAAATTGTGCAGTAATAACCTGTTGACGAGGGAGGCACTGGTGATAAACTCCTTTCCACATACACACACACAAAAAAGTTAGGCATATTCTAACTATGAAGCAAGAAACTTTTTTTTTTTTTAATTTTATATTGGGGGCTCTTACAGCTCTTGTCACAATCCATCCATCCATCCATTTGTACATATGTTGCCACCATCCTTTTCAAGGCATTTTCTTTCAACTTGAGCCCTTGATATCAGCTCCCCATTTTTTCCCTCCCTCATGAACCCTTGATAAATTATAGATGATCATTTTCTTCTTTTATTTTTTTAGATTATCATTTTCAAAAAAAAAGATTATCATTTTCATATTTTACATCATTCTCTGGCTCCCTTCACCCACTTTCCTGTTGTTTGTCCCCCTGGGAGGGGGTTATGTGTCGATCCTTGTGATGGATTCCCCTTTTCTCCCCCCACCTTCCAAGAAGCATTTTTTTAATAAAGCAATGTTTGCCATGAGACTGATGTCATTTCTTTAAAAATGAGGGTCTTTTGTCATTTCTTAAAAAATGAGGGTCTTTTGTCATTTCTTAAAAAATGAGGGTCTTTTGTCATTTCTCAAGAGGAAATTTCCATGAGGTAATTAGTTATGGAGAGAAATGATTATGGAAGTTTTTCAAGTGATTCAAACTTTAGCAAGTGCCTCCTATATTCTTTCGACAGAGTTTTAACTAAATGATTTAGAGAGTAACAAAACAATCTTTGTCACCTCTCATCTTTCATCAACAGCCATCTGTGTCCACATGCTTCTTGAAGGCAGCTGACATCCACGCTGCCACTTCCCAGTTTCTCATTAACCTGTGCTAGGCAGCTTCATTCTCCACTGTTTCTCTGGAACAGCCACCCACAACTGGACTGAGCTCACTCTGAGCGTTACGTGTCCATCCTGAGCAGACACATGCTAGTCCTTATGTATTTTTAACGTGCCAGCAGCATGACAACCTGTCTGTGAAATTCTTTCTTCCACTGATTTTCAAGCAGCTACCTTCTTCTCCCCCAAAACCGTTCCTCCTGAGTCGTTTTGCTCCGCTGCTGCACGCCTAATGAAGTTGTCTTGGTTCTCTTCTGAGGGTCTCTTCTGAGACCTTATGTACTAGTGCCTATATCATGATTCTTTCCAAACTTTTACCCTCAGCTCCATCTTCTATACTGAACTCCACATCTGTATAGCTAACAACCTCCAGCACATGATATATCAAATATATGCTAACCTAAATTCATCATTTCCTCCCTACCCTCTATTCCTAATGCCACCTCATAGCCCTCCCATTTGTAAACCTGGGAATCATTCTGACTTCCTCTCTCTCCATAGTCAAGTACTCCTAAGACATGTTCTTTCCTCTAATGGATGGAAAGTTTTGCCCCACTTTCCATCTTTATTGCACATCTTCCTACCTCTGGCCTTGCCTCACACAAAACCATTCTTTAACACTGTCAGAATGATCTGTCCAAATCAGATAGTTTCTCTCATCAGCGTAAAATCACTCTCAAAGTCCGGTAAGTATCCATGCTTCCGAGCATGGCGCGGCAGGCTGCTCGTGTTTCCATCTCTGCTTTTCGCTCCAGCCTTGTCTCTTGCTGCTTAGATTCATCCTTCGTCACCACCATCTTGAAACACACAGCATGCAAACCACTTTGAACTTCTGGCCTTTCCACTAGTGGAAGAGAGTCCTATTCATTCTTTCTTCTTCTCTCTCCCCTCCCTCTGGCCATTTACATTGTTTTGGGGGTTTTGCCTAGTTACTCAAAATTTCACTGCAATACTCTTCCCCTCCAAATCGAGTTTCTGTTTCCTTTCTGTGTGCTTTGCCAGGAGCACCATGTATCGTGCTTATCTGTATACTCTCTGAGTCCCAAAACAGGCAGAGGTATGACAGGCACTATATACGTGTATGGTGAAAGGAAGAAATGAAAATGGAC